CCGAGTCTTAACAGCTTAATGATCACCCAGTGATTGTTCAGTAGCTGTGTTTCAAACACTTTGAATCACTAATCCCTAAGGCTTTCTGCTGATGGATTTCTGTGGGGATTGGTAAAAATGTTCAGTTTTATGATAATTTTTAAGTCTGCCTAACCATTTACTTTCCTCCCAACCTCTTGAGTTTGTGTATGGTTTCCCAGTTAGCCAGTTTTGTGTGGAAAATCCTATGCTGAATATCCCCTGCATGTGCGCCCAGCCTCCCAGTCAGCCAGAGATGCATGGCAAAGTTATATAGCTCATTTGTATGTCTTTCAAAGTTTTAGGATCTCTCTATTAAAATTTTTGTCTGGTCTGCTAGTCTGTCACTCACACCAACCAAAACTACAACCTTAGGCTAATACAGCTGTGGGTTACTAATTGATTAAAGAATGGAGAAGGATGTATCACAGAAAGAAGCAAGAACAAGAATACAAACATGATCATACTAACATGTCCACAAGTCCTCATAGGCAATAACTTGATGTTAGGGTATCAGTTTTGGTTCAGGATGCTTTCTCCCTTGTTGCCTCCCTCAGGGTATATGTTGGGTCTTTGCATCCTTGAACAATATCAGAATAAAGACCATGGGGCAGATCAGGAGATGACATATGGATAGCTTGTCCTTTGGAACTACTTTGATCACATAGCAATAAAAAATATCAGCGAGAAGGAGAAAGCTAGTAGGAGGAGGATAGAGGTTTAGAGGTCATTCAAGTCCATCAACTTTTCCCGTTTGGTAGAGCAGGAAAAAGCCAAGGAACAAGGATGTGAAGTTTTTTTTTTTTTTTTTTAATTTTTTTTTAATTTCTTTTCAGTGTAACAGTATTCATTGTTTTTGCACCACACCCAGTGCTCCATGCAATCCGTGCCCTCTCTAATACCCACCACCTGGTTTCCCCAACAGGATGTTAAATTTTAAGTCTATAGTTTCATGGTTAATTGGTAAAGTAGTTGTAATTCATACCTAAATCTCCTGGCTATGAATCCTTGTTTTTTCTATCATGTCTGACAAAAGCATAAGTTTTTGTAGAGCCATAAAATTTTTGAGATAAAAGTGAGCTAAAGGTATATAATACCCTCCAGTAACGACTTCCCAATATAAATATAATTACTATTCACACCCATTAAAACAACCAGCACTTGTTGAACGTCCAATATGTCCCTGTAACTGTCTGTGTAAGCTCATTACAGATAATGCTATTAATACTCTCATTTTGAAAAATTAGGAAAGGAGAGATTTAATGATTTGTCTAAGAGTCTCAGGAAGTAAGTGATAGGCTGGGATCTAAACTTGTATATGTTTGAATTCAAAGCATCTGCCTTTAATATCTGTTATATTGCCTCATATATTTTTGGTGAAAGTAATTTAACCCTGTACTTGGCAGGCTTTAATGACTATACTGAAATCATTTTATTGTGCCCGTGTCACTTAGTCTCTGCTTGAATATCTCCAGGGATGGGAAACTCACCCCATCTTCAAGTAGCTCCTTTCCTTATATGACCACTTCTGTTGTTACAGTTCTCTCTTGTGAAACTAAATAGTATTTCCTTTGGTTACTCCTGTAATGTATGGCTTTCTGTATTTATACAGAATAAGTCAGTTATCTCTTCTGTATGAAGCAAGTCATCTTTAATGTTTTCTTTGCCAGGTTCAACACTGTTTTTTCAGCTATTTAAAAAAATAAAATTATTTCCCATGTTGGCACTTTTCTTTGTGTGGACTCTAGATTATCCTGAGAAACTATTACAGGTAGAAAACATACAATACTAAAAATAGAGTATTATAATAATAAAAATAGTAATAGCTTCCTTTAATAGAATTTTTATTATGTGGCATATATAGTGTTAAATCTTGACTCTTGACAATAACAGAATTAAGAAATAGGCTTACAGAGGCATTGTCTGTCACTTCTGCAGCTAGTAAGTAACCTCCACGCTAGAATTTGAAACAAGGTCTGCTTTAACTCCAACTCTTTACTGTGCTGCCTTTGCTGGCATGGAATTCAGGGTAACTATGTTACTTCCTATATTCTGGGTGTTCTAATTCTATTAATTTAGTCTAAGAATTATGTTAATCTTTTTGGCAGCCATATCATATTTGGCAGCATATTACTGGCTTACATGAAGTTTGCATTCAACTAAAACCTATAAAACTTAATAAGATCTTAAATATTTGATCTTCTGTCTGGTCTGGCCTTACCCTCTTATGTAATTAATTTTCAGTATAGATGCAAGACTTTGTGTTCATGTCTATGTCTTGGAGATTTCAGCTTCGGTTTCTAGGTTGTCAAGATAATTTTGAATTTTTAATCTGCCATCTATAATATTAACTCTTCCTCCAGATATATAGGACCACATACATCTTTGGTAAGTACCTTTTTTTGTGTGTTTATCTAGTCTTTGATCCATTTTCAGACAGATCAAGGTTGAATAAAGAATCTGTAAGGCGTATCTATTTTTTCCCCAAACATTGTTGTTGTGTACATTTCTAAAGTCTCAGACATATGTTTGGCCATGCCCGTGGTTTTCTTTTCTTCTTCTTATTTAGATAATATGGTCACTTTATTTTAAGGTTCTGGTTGGAATGATATTGAGGCTATCAGTTATAATATTTGCTTTCTCTGCCTTCTGAGCAAGACATTTATTACATAGGAAATAGAGAGTTTGGTAGGTGTTCTACTTTTGTATCAGACTCCTGTTAGAAGATATCTGAATAATTTAAACTCCTCTTCACTCTATATAGTATGTTTTGGTACAAGTTTTGTGATGTTTTCTGGGCAAGTATCATACATATTTCTTTTCTAGATAGACCATCTGTGGTATGCTGTATAATTAGGTTTTTCTCTTTAGTTCCTCACTTTTATTATTTACCATACTTTATTGTTACGTTCATGAGTTTCTATGTAGAAGTAACTTTTGGAAAGATCACTGGATTAGCTTTGAAAATTTCTGGATTTGGGGACTGACCATGCACTGTGAACTTGAGCAAGTCACTTAAGCTTTGTGGACCTCAGTTTCTTCAGATATACAATAGGGAGAGTAATATTATTCTTTATCATTTAGGATTATAAAAACAGGTCAGGATTTTGAAAATAAGAAACTGATATCTCACATAACAAGATATCAACAGATGGGCAGTATAGGACAAGTAGGGTAGCTATGGGAGCTCCGTAAAAACATTAGGGACTTAAGCTCTTCTAGTCTTTGATTTTATCATCCTTAGTGTGTAGTCCTTTTTGCCCTCTGGCTTCTTGAGTCATTGCCACAAAATGACTTCTTTAAGTCTGGGCTTCATGTTTATGTTTTAGACATAAGGAATAGAGAAAGGCTAACTGGTTAAAGGAAAAATATCTTGGTTTTCTCTTAGTGTGGTTTTGTCACTAAGGTTAAGTATACCCTAAAGATGTCTGTCTGTAGCTCATTGGCCAGAACTATGTTACATGGTCACTCCTTGCTTCAGGGAAAGCTGGGAAATTGTTTATTTTCGTGTTTTCATCTCTGTAGCAGAGGAAAGCAAAGGAGAAGGGATTGTGTGTAGGGTTTGGGTCGGCTAGTCAACAATATCTGCCACATTCATAGGATTATTGGAAGGATTCAGTTATATGGTGTAATAAGTTTTCCTCATGTTTTCTACTGATGGTCTAGAAATTGGCATTAATAGGTTTAGAAATAAATACTCCATTGTTTCCAACCAGCTCCTCTGTTTTCAACCAAGATTAAGTAAGAACCATTCCCACATCTGACTAATCTTTATGTGACACACATCCTAACCCTCATTGTCCTGGGTTTGTATTTATAGCTAGGCTTCTCTATTAGGACTATGTTGATGGGTTTGAAGAGTACAACAATGTCCCATCTTTTATGTCACATATCCTATTTTCTCTTTGAGCATTGCTGAAAGAACCAAATCTTTCTTATTGGTACAATCAACATGGGTATTACTTTATCCCTTCCAAAGCCATTGGTTTCATAATAATAATAATAATAATAGTTATTATTATTATTATTGTTTTTTAGCATTTTCTCTTAAAGTCCTTCAATTTGCTACACAAAACTTGAAAGTTTCTAGACTGTCATCCAGATTGCTGTTGATAAACATTAATTGTTTCAATGATAGTCAACTGAATTATATTTTAATTTATAAAAGTAAACAACTTTAGGGCATTAAAGCTCCCTGTTAATCGGGAAATATTTTAGGACAATGTTTGTTTTTGCAGAGATTGTTTTCTGGATGATACTTCTGCTTTGAGTGAAAATCATACTGAAGTATAAAAAGCAGCCTGTTACTAATGGGAAAATAATTGGAAGGAGGTAGAACTGTAAAGTGACTCACCCTATTGCTTTCTTCAGTGCCTACAAATACTTACAGATTTAAAGAGTTATTTACGAGTCAGAATGCAACCAGAGGCACATGAAAGGTAGCAGGAGAAATCCTGAGCAGCTCGCTCACAGAATAACAGCCCTAATTTGGACTGAATGGGCTAGCTGGGAGGTAAATTTGAAAACAGGCCACATATCCTGAATATACATGCAGGAGCTACCACCTGGTCCTACAGCATGAGAGAGATGAAATATCATAATCACTGGTGTTCAGACAAAATTGTATTTTTTTTTTCCATAGAGAATGGTAAAAGTTCAGAAAAGGCCCTAGGAAGTACCCAAGTCCTAGAGGTGAGCTGAGAGTAGAATGGAGGAGTGAGAATCTTAAATGATTACAGTGAGGTAATAAAATGGAAACTGCCAAAGAATTTGGAAATGGTCAGAGAAACTTGCAGAATGTATTATGAAGTTGGAGGCTCTTCAGGTTTCTTTACTTACAAATCTTTTCATTCTGATGAGATACTGATAGGTTATAAATTCTGTCATTTTGGGTGGAAGAAGACTGATTTGTATATAGTTTTCCAGTTTTTTTGTTTTGTTTTTGCTGGTTGCATTTATTATTATTATTATTTTTTTTGTAGACATTGTTCGAAGTGATGTTGCCCTGGATAAACAGAAAGGCTGCAAGATTGCTCAGCACCCTGATGTTATGCTGGAGCTCCAACGGGAGAAGGCAGCTCAGATGCACCTTGTTCTTCTAAAGGAGCAATTCTCTAATACTTACAGTAATCTCATATTAACAGGTAAGGCTATTGGAGTCGTCTGGAATCTTAGAGCATTATAGATTGTTGGCTTCCACTAGTTAACAACTTGATGCCTGGGAGATATTAAAGATATTAAAGTGGGCCCATATCTGTCTCCACCCACTATATCCCTTTTTAAATTGTGATGACTTTTGTCTTCCTATAAAAAATATTTCTTGTAGTTTATAGATGTATTTGGCTTAAGGTTATAGGCAACTCAGCATGTGTGTTCTCCAAAGACAGAACCAATGAAAACCTAATGAATCCTTGTAAAAATACGACTTTTTAGATGTGTGCCAATAGATTTGGAAGAATTACTAAATTTGGTGTCAAGAAGCAGCTATTTTCTTCTTTCTGTGTATGCCCTTTCCATGAACCCAGGGAACATAAAGATGAAATGTAAAAGAGATAATGATCCACAGGCTGAGCTGAGAATGTTCTATTCCTGGTGGAGTTTGAAAATATCTGGAGAATTTGATTTTCTTTTTAAGAACAAAGAGGCTATGAGACAGCCATACTCCCTTACATCCTTGGTTCAAGGAGGGAAGTGAATTTGTGTGAGAGCTCATAGGAGAAGCAACTTTTTGCAGGGCTGCCTGCAAACTTGGCTGGTAAAGAGCATGTGAGTTGCATGCTTTTGTCAAGTTTTGGAAAAGATTTTAACAACGACTCTGAAGTGAGAATCATGGAGGACTTAAGATGGATTAAGAAGAGCTGTCTAAGTTACCTCCGTTTTCTTGAGGGCATGTAAGACATACCTGCATATATTGATCTAAATAAAGTTTAACAAATCAAAAGTGTCTCTTTCTCCTTGTTTATGAATTTTTAAAAAATAAAGAGATGGAATGTCTGATAGGCTATGAACATCTCATACTTATTTTTGTAAACTCCAAGTTAGGAAAATTTTTAATTTTTTTATAGGCTTCCTGGCATTTCACCAGGAATTGCTGAGTGGCAACCAAATTGTTTTGCTTTAGAAAAAGCACAAGTCTCTTCCAGCTTTTCATCTTATACCTGGTGGAAAATCCAACAGCATGAGATGAAAGCCAGATTTAAATGTGGCTTTGGTGAGCAGAGAAGAGGATTATGGATTTCATAAGTATAGGCCTTGTTTTTTTTGGCTGTTTGATAGGTCATTAAGAGGGAAAACTCAAAAGTGATTTATGGCCAATGCATTATTTCCCTAAGTTGGTTAGTGTAACTGTTTAAGTTTAGATGCTTGGGAAGAACATATATTTTTTAAATCCAAATTTTTTTATTCTATCTCAGGTGTACAAATGTACATGTATTTAGTATTTTCTAATTCCGTTATTAGAAATGAAATATTTTTATCCTGTTCTTATTTTAATTTTAGGTCCTTACTAAAGAGGTCAGACCCCATGTTCTTTAATGTGGCATAGAAAGGGCTTAAGGTAATTCTAACCTTAAACTGAGGATCCAGAGTGTGGCTTGAAGGCGTATTATCCTTGAAAACACAAGTGTTCTATTGAGTTCAATGGAATCTTTTCTAATTCTCAGTAACATAATCCCTTTGGATGTTTATTCGCAGTTCAAACTGTTGGAATCAACATTGTCAACTTTTACCCTGACAACTTGCTTACTTTCCACTAAATAAACTTACCCCAGAGAAGAGCCTCTTTCCTGCTCTCACTTCTCCTAAGCTGCTTCAAAGAGTCCTCAGGCATTTTCCACATTTTTCACCCAAATGCGTGTACAGAGGTGGTACCTGGCTACAGACAGAGCATTTGGTATGCCCCAATTTGTTTACATGAAAGTTCAAAAGGTTTTGGTTCCAGGTGTTGGGAAGAGATGCAGTCACTTCAATTTAGCACCAATGGTAAAACTATTTTAATGTCCTTTAACTAAGTCTTTGATTTTACACAGTGTGGTTTCCTAATTGTTATGAAGTTTAATCCTTGATTTCTTGTATAAATTTTGAGAACATGGTCTCCAGACAGCTAAACATAATATTTAAACATAACTAAACTAACTTTTGTAAATATTTCCCTTCTCAGTGATGAATGTATATTGGTAAGGAGGGTGAGGTTGAAGGGGCAGAGACCTCTCAAGTGAAGTGACTTTCTTTACCAACATGTTCAGAACACCTACTCTAGGATTTCTGCTTGGTGATGTTCCACTTATTTTGTGTAACTCTGGCATAATATTTGAAATGTCTGCAGTGCAAGTATTTATGTGGGACAAGATGAAGAAACTGGGCCTCTCAGAAAGAGCTCATTTTCTTCACGCTTCTGCCCTCCTCTCAACCCTTCTCTTCAATTATTTACAGAATTTCATGTATATGGGTAGCAGGGTATCTTTATTGTTTCCTGGTCAGTTGTGGTATATTCTTTATTTTAAAATTGGATAACTAAGATCATAGTATGGGAAAAAACAAAGTCAGCATAGTAGAAAATTGATAAAGTGAAATGTCAGAGAGTTAAAAGCATATTAAAAATGATGGTTGTTGCCCTCCACCCCACTAGCAAGCTCTTGTTCTTAGATGTTCCATCTTTGGCTGATGTTACCATCAGTGTTGAGGTGAGAGGCATGCCTTCATACTCTGCATTCCAGCCCATGAGCTCTCTTAAACAGCTACCCCTCAGACACAAGCAAATGTTATTCTAGCTTTGAAGGTCTTCTGACTATTCAGTAAAGGAGAACAACTCTGCAGTCCTTGTGACAGCCAGTTAACAGAAACTAATAACAATTCTTTAATATGTATGTCTTATTCAAGTATTCCTCCTTATATCATAGTTTTGGAAAAGTGGATTGTATTTTTGCCTAATATTAAGCATAATGTTTTCATGTGAATGATTTACATAGCAATGGAAATAATATTAGCCTTACCTAATCTAGAGGGTTTTTGAAATAAACTCCAAGGTTTTGGGAAGGTGATGGAGTAATACCAATAGAACATCAGTGATTGCATTATTTTAAAAGGTGACAAGTAACATGCTGCACTTTTTACACTGACTTAAAAAGCATGGGTATATGCTTGTCCTGTAGCTTCCGGTTTGTCCCAGAGCTTTTAAGAAAAGACAGAGATTGTTCTTCCATTTCTTTGTGTTCTCATGATTCTTAATGTAATAATGTTCTGTACATTTGTTGGGAATGTTCTGCTGTGTATATGATGAATGAATTCACTTGGGATTATTTGACAGCTAAGTAATAACTTTTATAGGTTCAGATTCAGTTACTCATTTCCCCTTATCCTTGCCCCACTCCCATACTTCTTGAGGTGTAAATTCAGCTTTTGTGGTAGAGTCCTATAATTAAATGAAAAAGTTAGCTTTAAAGGGCAATGTATTTTCTAGGATTTTGTTTAGAACATAAGCTTCTGGAGGGTAAGGAATGTCATATTTGTACATTATTCTTCATAGTATAAGGAGCATAGTGAATGATCTTGAAATGAGGTCAAATTTAAACAAAATTTATTTAGGCTGTCAAGTCATAGTCAGCCCTCTATAAGAGGCAGCCTCAAAGGAAACCATTATAAATGGATGGCATTACCTAAGATGCTTTCCAGTGAGGACTCTTCTCATGTTAATGTGCCACTTTTTGTTTTGTACCTCCTTTTTCAGTCTTATGTTCCAAAGTGGATTGGGATCCTGATGGTCAGCTTTACTGTATTACTGTGCAAATGAATTGAGCAGAAGAAGCTCATTCTTCCCTGTTGTGGCCCATTCTTCTAATTTTAGTTGAGCAAAGGGTTCAAAGAAATGGAACAAGAACTGTTCTTTCATTTCCCATAAATCATAATGCTCAGAGGACTATTTCCAGGTCTTTTAAAATATTTGGATTACATTCTATGGATTAAATATAATATAACTTTATTTAACTATTTCCCCATCACTGTACAATAATTAAATAATTAAATACATGTTGGCACACTTCCTTCTGTAGAGTAGATTTCTCAAAGTGGGATGTCTGGGTCAAAAACTTTGTATTTTTAAATTTCATAAAATCAGTTTTTTGTGGTATAATTTATAAGAAAAAATAAATTTTGACAAATGTTATATGTCATAGAGTCAAATAGCCACCACCACCATCAAGATACAGATTTCTCTCATCCTAGAAGTTCTCTCATCTCCCTTCATAATCTCCTTTCCCTCCCTCTAGTCCTTAATTGTATATGATCTGATACTTGTTTCTAAATATCATATCAATGGAATGATGAAGTGATTGGGGGTCTCATTTCTTTCACTTAGCATAATTCTTTTTGAGATTCATTCAGTTGTTGCATATATCAATATTTCATTCCTTTTTATTGTTGAGTAATATTTCATGTTGTGAACATGCTGCAATTTATCCATTTCTCTGTTGGTTTGTTTCCAGTTTTTGGTGATGATGAATAAAGCCACTCACTATAAACATTTGCTCTCAGCTCTTTGTGTTGACATATTTTTCCTTTTTTGGGAGGGTAGTATGGTACCTAGGAGAGGGGATGCTTGATTTCATGTTCTCTATTTGACTTAAATGAAGCTGTCAGATTGTTTTCCAAAGTGGCTGATACTATCTTGTATTCCAACAGTATGTGAGAGTTCTACTTCATCCACATTTTTGCCAACAATTAGTATTGTCTGTCATTTAAATTAGCCAGTGAATATATAGTAGTATCTTATGGCTTTAATTTGCAACTTACCTTATGACTAATAGTTTTGACCATCTTTTAGTGGTTATTTGCCATCTATATATCTTTTTTGGTAAAGTGTCTGTTTAAGTCTTTTCCCTATTAAAAAAATAATGACTTTGTTTTCTTACTGTTGAGTTTTGAGAGTTCTGTATATATTTTATATATATATATATATATATATATATATATATATCTTTTATATATATTTTGGGCTACATGTCCTTTTTCAGATATGTGATTTGCAAATTTTTTTTTTTTTGATTTTTTTTTTTCTTTTTTTTTTTTTTTAAAGAGGGGGAGGGGCAAAGGGAGATGGAGAAAGGGAATTTTTTGTGGGGGGAATGGGGAAGAGGGGAGGAGAGGGGAG